TCGGCCTTCAACTTGTTTACTTCCTTAAGAAGCTGTAGGACAAGAGGGTTCTGAGTGGAGTCATGTACCACTGGAGCTTTATTTCGTAAATCTCCATATCCTCTTGGAAGTATGAAGGTTTAATCAAGAGCATGTGATTTTTCCCTGGACTCGCCGTACTGACTTCCAAGGTATGTCTGTCGGAACATCTCTGAGTCCTCTATACCTTCGTGTTTCTCTAGGACTTGTTGCCCCTTCCCCAAATTGGTAGTTGGCCTGGGACATGGGAGGGGACCGAGTCTTTCAGAGACCCTTGGATCATTGACCTTCGAGCTTACATGGATGGGATTGTGTCGACATTGCTTTAGGAAATCTCGACAGTTGCGAAAGATGGCTTTCGATCATTCCACTCCTTCTGTAAGGAGGTGTCTTCCTCCACTTCTCCTACTTCGGGTCGAAGCGGCTGGGTTGAGAGAAGTCTCATGTTGATCAATATTTTGATGATTAGCTCGCTCCTCACCAGGAATACCCATGTCTAAGGAAGGCGACCCTCCGTGTTGGGGGGCACCCAAATGATGGTTGATGTCCACATGGGTAACGAGCTCGCGTGTTTGAGTATGCCTAGTTTCATGAAGCGTCTCAAAGAGCTTCTCATACTGCTCCTGGAGAACCTCGTTCTTCATTACTATCTTGTTGTTCTGAGCTTCTAGCTCATCGACTTTAGCTTGAAAAGCAACCCTTTTTCCTTCATTCTTTCGTTGCTTCGCACCAAGTGCAAGAGGGGTGTCATTCTGCGTGCTGTGGCTTCCTTCGCTCCCCATGTTGGAGAGGGATGCCTGGTCAAAAGAGAGTGTACGAATGGTGGAAACCAGCTTAACAAAGCTAAAGAGAGTGAGAATAAGTGTCGTTCCCACATGCGGCGCCAAATGTTGATGCACAAAATCAGTGGGAACTTTGGTACAACAGAAAATGTTAAGTTTGTGACCTTCGCTAGATTGCTCCGGTCACTGGTGTGGATAAGTAAGTAAATGGAGAGGGACAGGGAAGCAAACATAAGATGTACGTGGTTCACCCAGATTGGTTACGTCCACGAAGTAGAGGAGTTCTCATTAACTGTGAAGGGTTTAAACAAGTACATAGGTTCAAGCTCTCCTTTAGTGAGTACTAGTGAATGATTTAGTACAAATGACATTAGGAAATATTGTGAGAGAATGATCTCTATTTATAGAAGATAGTTTCTAATTTCATTCTGACATTGACACGTGTCGTGTTGTGATTGGCTTCTGATGTTGACATGTGTCGCGCTATGATTGGCTTCTGATGTCGACATGTGTCGCGCTATGATTGGCCTCCTGGTTGGAGGGAAACTCTTCTGGGTCCTTGACGGTATAACGTTGACCGGTACTCAGTAGTTTCAGGATTGGTCAAGTATGGTACAAACAAGATTAGTCAAAGTGTTAAAAGTAAATGAATTTGTTTGCAATAATTTTTTTCAATAGCCCGGACTATTATGTAGTTCAAAAAATTGAACGCTACAAATGGATTTTAAGAAGTCGAACAGTATAAAAATTTGAATTTACTTTGTATGTTGGACTATCAAAGAATTCAAACTCATTTTTTTAGACACATAATCCCATATTATAAAATCCAAGATTTAAGGACATAAGGCACACAAAGTAAAATCTACAACTGAATTAAGCACCAAATGTGCAAGAAGACATACATGAATGTATTCACCGTTATCAAGACGTTTCATTCCTATAAAATGGAATATGCAAGTGTTAACATCAATATATAATGTATTATTAGATCGAGATACCACCTTATAATGACTCGTTTTATGTAAGTTGCTCATGAAATTGTAGTAAACTTTATTTTCTTCAACGTTGAGAATCTTGAGACCAATAATTATTTGACAATTTATAGAATCCACAATTGTTAACCTCTCCCTCCCTCCCTCCCTCTTATCGTCTGAGTCACTAACCACACTCTCTCTCACTCACACTCTTTCTCCCCCTATTTTGATCGATTGAGTCACTAACCACACACATACACTCTCTCTCTCTCTGAGGAGGCGTTCAAGCGGAAGGACCCAATATATTTAAAACAAATCTCTCTTTATCTATATGTTTGAGTGTTTTCCATGGCTTCATTGCTGCTCTTGGCGTTCATAACATTGGTGGAGGTCGTGATATCCATGGTCTATTGAGGGCCTGCCGTTGTTCTTCCTCTACGGCCGGTAGTCCCCACTCGTTATCCTTCTCTTGGCGTTCATAACGTTGGTTAATTTTAAAAGCTGAAGTTAAACCAGTTGCTCAGCATTCCTCAATCCGTGATCCAACCGGTTGCATTATGCTAGTACATATTAATTGTTCATATGACTGTTGGTGCACTTAGTTTTCTGCTCCTTAATTAAGCATTTTTAGTTAATTTTTCACTCTAGTTGTTCGTCTTCAATTTTTATGTATAGTAGCTAATGTTTGAATATGTAGGTTTTATGTGACGAAAGTAATGTTGGGCTTTCGCTGAGAGAGTTTGAGTTGTTGTTCGACACCAGTAGCGACGTGACGTGGAATTCGTTTCGTTTATGTTTCATAGGTTCCGTTCACTACTTATGACCGTGGTAGCTCATGGACTGCCGGGACGATCGGTTGCTCACACCAACTGTGCATTGGTTTATGCTATCTTCATAGCAACCAGTGCACTTACAATATCACTTACAGAGATGGAGATGAGGTTGTCGGGTATTATGTTTATGATAAAATACATTTTGACATGATTACCCAGCAATTTACCTCTTCTGAATCAATTATTTTTGGGAAAATATTTTAAATTTATTTTTATTTTTTGACAACCATCATACATTTTCTAGTTTATTGACGCTTAATACTTCCCTTGGGTGCTGTCTTGGAAATAGGTGTACTACCCATGAGTCTGGCATTATCAGGTGGAGCCCATACAATGGCATACTTGGGTTTGGCCCAGGAGATGCATTATTTTGCAGTTGTCATCTCGGGGGTTAGCCCCAAATCTTCTTCCATTGTCTGAGGAAAGATGGCAATGGAGGGGGCGTACTTGCTCTTGGGGAGATAATAGACCCGAGGATGGTTTATAATCCACTCGTCCCAGCAATGTAAGTCTTTATTTTATATGAATTTATTTTGTGTGATTAAGTTTTTTCCTCTAACTAAATTAACTAACTCCTAATTGGTTTTTTAGGAATTATAACGTACATCTTCAGAGCATAGCTGTGAATGGAAAGATGTTGCCTATCGATCCAGCAATCTTTAGCACATCACACAACCGAGGCACATTAGTTGATTCGAGAATAGTGTTGACATATGCAGCGAGGGTTAATTTTGAACGATGCTATGTTTGAAGATAGTCTTATGCAGAGAGAGGCGTGACTTGTTTTTAAGACCAAACGATGGTGTATGAGTTTATTTAAAAATAATTTCCTATAAGACTAAAATTTTGAATGACGCTATGTTTGTTTGAAAACGATCTTATAGAGAGAGAGGCGTGACTTGTCTTTAAGACCAAACGATCCAACGAATAACTCACCATTGAAGTCCAAGCCCACATTAGCGTCTTAGGTTTAAACCCAAAGGAGGCTTGGGAACAAGCGAGTGTTTCGTTTCGTTTCGTCATCTCCTTATTTCTCCCTCCCTAACTAATCGACTGCTGCCTCTATTCGTCGCTTTTAATTGGACCCGACAATTTTTGACACGACACGAAAATAACAGGTTTCGGGTCAACACGATAACTAATCGGGTCATTATCGGGTGACCCGTTAATAACGGGTATACACGCGGGTAACACGTGGGTAACCCGTTAAGAAAAAAATTATTTTGACAATTTTAAAGTTTAATTACTAAAAGATTTATTATAAAATACAATAGCCATATTAATATATAATATATTCTATATTAAATATATAGTTTTGTATTATTATTATGATTATATATAATATAAGTTAAAAAAAAAAGTTTTAGTCATTTTTTTATTTTTATTATGAGAGTTCCTTGTTATTATTACCAAGATAAATTTTACTTAACATGTTGTTGTCCAAAATTAAAATAAACTAGTATAGTATTTATATAGGCAAGAACTAAAAGGACATACATATAAGTATGAAAAATGTGAAAGAATATATAAACACTCGTGATACATCATTATTCCTCCATGAGTAGATAATGGTTACACTTACATCATCGTTTAGATTTTTAAAATCCTCCAAACTCTCATGAATAATGTTTTTTATTTGAGGGTAAAATTAATAATAATTATTGTAGAAGTGTAAAAAATGTAAAAAAAAAAAAAATACAATCACTCATAATGACAAGCTTTACAACTTTTATGAAGGGGTCAGCTTCAAAATCTAACACTATAATCCATAAACCTTAAATTTATATTTAACCGTCGATTGTCAATTACGTTTTATTCTTCTTACTGAATTTCATTTTTAAAATTTTCTTTTTTTAAAACATGATCATCTGGCGGATGTAAGAAGATGAACGGTTTAGATCTTTGATATCATGTTTCGATATTTACGGTTAACTGAAATACAAGTTGATGTCATGTAGTTTGTATAAACTATATAAACATCAAGCAATATTTTCATTAACCGTAAAACGCTGAACGATCCAAACCGTTCATCTTCATACATCCTCTAATAGATCATGTTTTCAAAAAAGAAAATCTGAAAAAACAAAATTTGATGAGAAAAATGAAGCGAAAATGTAAACAACAATCAACGGTTAAATTTTGATCTATGATTTATATGATTATAGTGGCGAATTTCGAAGTTAAGCTCTTCACGAAAGTTGCAAAACTTGTCATTACAAGCGTTTATATATTTTTTCTATATTTTTTACACTTCTACATTAATTAAAAAACTATTAAAGACTTTACTTAAATAACAATCGTAAGATAAATGAGAGTAAATCTGTACCGTTAGATTATATTTCACTTGTATTATTAGAACTTTTTTTGTACAAAAAACCCCCTCATATTTTCCAATTTACCCATCTGATCAAAACGAAAACCCTAAATTCCCTTTCTCCCTTCCCACTCCTGTAACCCTCTCTTTCCCACCCGCCGTCTGTTCTTCCTAGCCCCTCTCTCCCGCGGTATGTTCTTCTGGTAGCCTCTCTCAGTATCTCTTTTCTCCTCCCTCGTGCAGTGGACGCCTGGACGGAATAATTCTTGTCATCTCTGCTCTAGTCGTCACTACATCTCTGCATTCTCCAGATTCCACTCCAGGTTCGATTTTGCCTCTTAATTTGGCTATTTACTTGGATGAAAAATATGTAAGACTTTGGCTATTTCGTGAATAAGTTCCGTTACTGCTTCCATAGAAACTATTCCTGATGATGCCAAGTACCATACAGCATGAAAATGAGTCTGCAACTGTTAATCTGAGTTTAGGATTAGATGTCCATCCTTCGATGTCACTCCTCGACGTCGGCAACTTGGAGAAGAAATATGAATGCAATAATTCATTCAAACGAAATTAATGAATGAATTTGTATGATTCATATAAATACATTATACAGAGATAACTGATAGATTCTTTTCGTCTCTTTCCGTCTAAATGTTGTCACAGCCCAAAGATAACTCTTATACCAATGGCCTTGGCCTGGCATGACCAGCTTAATTCTCAAGAATGGGATTTGAGAACTGGATTTGGCACAGCCCAAAATGCGTTTTGTTGCTTTTAAGATTTTTTTTAATTTTTTTTAGCGACGTTGCTTTTAAGTTTTAAGTTGTTAATTTTTGAGGCAGATTTGTAAGAATATTAAGTACCTTTTCTACTGCATATATATGTATGGATATGTGTATTGTTAAAGAAGCATGATATACAAGCATATATACTTTTTGAGGTAATCTGGTAATCAGTGTTTATACTTTTAGTATGCTTATACTCTCCACTGACATGATATACATACATAAATACATATATGTGTGTGTGTGTGTGTGTGTGTGTGTGTGTGTGTGTGGAATGAAGCATATGTTAGAGTACTTAGTACTGATTACTCAGATTGCATATATGTATAGTAATGACAGAGTAGATGGGAAGGAAGCTTGCTTTTAATTGGTGGGTTAGACGAGTTTGTTAATACTACTATTCTGTCTCTAAAATGATCTGTTCTGTTGCTTGTTAATTTTTGAGTCATTTTGCTGCCTTTGCTTTTATGGTGGTGAAAGATATTGCTCCCACATGTATGTTGATTCTGCTATATTTCTTTGAACTGCTTGTGAATTGCTGATAAAATGGTTCTTTGAACTGCTTGGAAGCCTGCACCATTCTTGCACGGCTAGAAGACTGATTTGTGTTTTGGTTCTAAACAAGCGATTGTGGGTTTGAGTCCCACTAGGTGTGCAACCTTTTTTTCACTCAAAAAAAGTATTATGTTTTTCATTTGATTATTTATAGGTTTAAAATATATTTTCCTTAACGGGTAACGGGTCGGGTCATTTTACTCGTTTAGTTTAACGGGTATTACACGACACGACCCATTAAGATATTTGGTATGACACAAAAACGACACGAACACGGAAAACATGACAGGAATGCCAGGTCTACTTTTAATAGGGTTTTTTCAAAGAACACTATACCCAAGCGAGTGTTTCGTTTGGTTTTGTCATCTCCTTATTTCTCCCTCCATGACTAACCGATTGTTGCCTCTATTCGCTTTTAATAGGGTTTTTTCCGAGAACACTATAAAAATAGGGTTTAGGGTTTTTGCACTATCTGTAAACTTTGGTTGTCTCTGTGATTCGAAAGATGGGGAGAGCTAAAAAAGGCCCGAAATTTGCAGTCATGAAGAAGGTGGTCACCTCCAAAGCAATTAAAAGGTAAACACTTTTCATAATTTATTTCTTATTTGTGTTTATTTCTTCAATTTTCTGCATAAAAATTTGGAATTTTATTTGATTTTTGCTATGTGTTTTGAATTCAGCTACAAAGAGGCGGTTTTGAATCCGAACAAGAAGGATCTCACGAAAGAAAAGCTACCCAGAAATGTGTAAGTTTTTCCTTGAGCTTAATGTTTAATTTAATTTTTTTAATTAGAGGTTTAGTTGTTTAGCATAATTAGTTTGGTCTTGTGATTTAGGCCAAATGTTTCTTCCGCGCTGTTCTTTAAACACAACACTGCTTTGGGACCGCCTTATCGGGTTTTGGTTGATACCAACTTCATCAATTTCTCTATCCAGAATAAGGTTAGTGTTTAAATACTAATTGTTGACATTATACATTTAATCGTTTTACTAAAATTATGTTTTGATTTGCAACGGAAGTTTTTCTATACATCTGCGTGTTTATGGTTGAAAATCTTGATACATGGTGGACTTTTTCAGTAAGTTTAATCACATTTTGCTCTTTTGATGAGTTAAAGGTATCGGTTAGAACTTAGAAATTATCTGTAGTGGTCATAGTTGACTGTTTTTCTCCTTCACTTTGTGCAGTTGGATTTGGAGAAAGGAATGATGGATTGCTTGTACGCAAAGTGTGAGTCTTAAATCACTCGTTTATTCACTTGTATAAATTTTCAGTCTCCTTGGATAAATTGGTTTTGAATGCTGATTTTCATTACGAGAAATCTGTACCACGTCTTGATTGCAAATGCTGCTCTATTGGTAGCTTACATATCCTTTTGGTAATATTTTGTTTTTTTTTAAACAATCTGTTTCTCTTCTGAATTGGCAGGCACTCCTTGTATCACGGATTGTGTAATGGCAGAGCTTGAGAAATTAGGTCAGAAATATCGTGTGGCTCTGAGGTATGTTCCGAACTTTGGTACCTCTTTTATTTCATTGTTAGAAGGTTTGAAGTTGTTGGATGTGCATCTGCATGAGCTGCACTAATATCTATGTTCATTGCCCTGTTACTCATTTTATACTATGTCCTTTTACATTTTCTAATAATTCGATTATGATTTTTTTTCCTGTTTGTCAGGTTCTAAGATAACTGATATATTATGTGCATTAATAATTTATGCTCTTCAGTTCTCCAAAAGATTGCGTTACTAACAAAAAATTATTCTGTTCTGACAGGATTGCTAAGGATCCTCGTTTTGAGAGACTACTCTGCACTCATAAAGGAACCTATGCTGATGACTGTATTGTTGAAAGAGTTACCCAGGTACAATTTACAATCAGTAACTGCACTTTCCTGTTTTGCTCTTTGGAGTCTTTACCCCTCTTTCTAGTCAGGAATTGGGGAAGTTGGGATGAAGTAGAGTCTTTAAGGCTGTCACGTTGTATTATAGTCAGTATAATAAGTAGTTGCTATCTAAACTAGATTGGTTGAACTTTTCTTGATTTATCCCTACCAAAGTTGCCGTAGCTCAACTTTCAGCAATTTCTTCTTTCTTGGATTGTAAAAGGTATATTAAAAGTTAGATGGCTTTCGAAACAAAAAATGCATATTTTCTCTTCTGAAGCAGTTCGATAAAGACTATATTTTTATATTTCAAAGTTACACTTTGCATAGAGTGAATGTGCATCATTTGATTGTCTGTTCTGTCTATCTCTCTCTTCTTGTTAACATTTCTGGAAAAATTTACCAGCCAGATTGTGGTCCTTTGTTGATTCCAGTTGCTGCTTATCAAAATTTTCTGATGCATTCTTATGACTGACATTGACTGACCTTGTTGTTGGGTACAGCACAAATGCTACATTGTTGCTACATGCGATCGAGATTTAAAGAGAAGGATCCGAAAGGTGGAATAACAATTTAGAACCATTTTAAGCGACGCTACAACTTTAATTTAACAACTCCATAACTTTGCTTGTTTAAGTGTAGGTCCCTGGTGTGCCAATCATGTACATCACTCAACACAAGTATTCAATTGAGCGGTTGCCAGAAGCAACCATAGGTGGAGGTAGGCTTGGATACCAAAAACTCACATAAGTATTGTTAATTGCAAGGTTTTTAACCAGGTTGAGTTGTTCGGAAAGTTTATGGGCTTGTGTTATTATTTATTAATGTTGACACTGAAGTGTTTTTAGAACAAATCTAATGTGAATCTTATGGCCGGTTTTTCGAAATGTAACTAGTTTACTTGAGGTAACATAAAACATTTTGTTTTGTTGCAGCTCCAAGGTTTTGATGATTGGCGTGTGACCTCTACAAAGCGAAGACTGGTTCTACTCCGATTCTGAACAATGCAGTTCATCAAGGCGGAATTGCGCACTTTTGGGTTAGGTGAATTTTCTTCATAGGAACCTGTAAACGTTTCTAACATTTCTTTATTACAGTTATAAGAGAAGAAATCGAAGTGCACTTGTAGCAGTGTTAGTGTTATGATTTTACTTGTGAAACTCTGAACTGTAGTAATTATATCCGTTTTTCGATTTGTCTAATGCGAGTGTGCAGCCACAAATAGCATAACCATGATGCATCCCACAACAAAAGCAGGGATTATAACATAATTTTAAGACACCTTCCTGTAAATATAGTTTGACAAGAACGGCCTTTATGAAGTTGCGTACTTCAAATGCACGGAGAATGGTTGGTTTAGCTGGTAATGCGGTAGATATGAAAAGAATTGTAGAGCTCAAATTTCGGAGGATGAGTGTTTTTCAGCAACAAGAGTTAGAAAACTATTTGAGGAGCCGAGATCTGAGTTGAAAGTAGGGGTGGGCGCGATGCGGTTCGGCCCTCAAACTAGAACCGGAATTAGAAAATATCAGCGGTTCGATTTGGTGCTGTTTTGCTTAAATTTATTATTAAAACCGTACGGGTGGTTTCAGCTTATGTCAGTTTACATTTTCAAATACCAAATCATTTGTATGGCAAATCAACAAGGTATTCAAAGTTTTCTTGTATTTTTTTCTTGTTTTTTGCAAGCTTGCGTTCAAATACGTCTTCTAAAATGGTTATACAAAGTTAAAAATAAACAAATTCTTTTCAAATACTAAATCAAAATGCAAATGTCCTAGCAAAAAAAATAAAATAAAATAAAAAAAAATCAAAATGCAAATGTCCATTGCTACCTACTTATGGAATGTTGGATCTGCTGCTGCTAACAGTGAATGCAATGTGGCTCCTTAGTTTTGAATCAAGCAAATTGAACCATAAATTCCATCAGATTTTGCCGAATATAATTGGTTTTGACCACTCATCTGATGACACTTGAATATTTTTTAGGTTAACACGTTTTTTTACGTGTGTTTATTGGCGAAGTGTATCCAATTCGTTGTAGTTTGTTTGTGACAAAATGACAGAAGAACTGGACAAGTAGGTGAGAAACTTCATAGTGCTGCGCTACTGGTGAATTTCTCACACTGGATGGGACCAAAATACAGGAGGTCTCATGCATATGTGAGACTTACGGATGACGCAGTCAAAGTGTAACTATCCAAATTTTGTCTGAGAAGTAGAACACTGATAACTTAAGAAACCATCAAAAGTTGCAAGTCGGTGAATTATTGTGTGTTGTTATCTAATAATTTCAAAACAATAAATTACCAAGTCAAGTTAATACATTCCCACTTGCATTGTCAAAACTTTGATTTGTTCGTCACTTGTTGCCTCAGCTTGTAGTTTACTTGTCAATATACATATCTTTGTAGCGTGATTGAGACGAAATGGTAGACGAATTGAGACAGCGTAATTCATATTCAATCGAAACAAAAACAGTAAAATCGGGTCAATTACTAGTATGCAAATAATAGTATAGTACATTTTAATTTGTTTTATTATTTAACCAAACACATTATCCTAACAAACTATTAAAACTTTGTTTTCCGAACCAACATTTATTCAGAGTTTGAACTACATTGCAGCTCTGGTTTTGGTGTAATTATTGAACTACAAAATTGTGGCAATTATTCGACAATATATAGGGAAACGGTAAACACACATCAATTTTAGTTTCTCACACACCTCTGTTTATTCATTCTGTTGTTTTCGTTTGATTTAATTTGATACAGTGGCTAGAAATAGAGAGATGTGTGAGAAGCTTGTGGGATGCAATGCAAAGTAAGGGTGCCGGTTTTAGGTTTTGTGAGCTTCATACAAGCAAGCTCAATTTTAGTGATATGAGTTGGTTGTATTGTGCTACTTTTGTCCGTTTTAGTTTTGTCATTTCATACTCCGTTGATTTGATTACAATAAATAATGGCATGCATACAAATGAAGTCTGAGACATGAGTGAGAACTTGGGGGAAGAAAAGAATAACAAAAGATGTGCTTGAAGCATCTTTCGTGTCGCAAATGACCCCTTATCACAGTGGTAGAAAAGTGTTGAACCCTTGCATAACAGCATGAGTGGCTAATCTAACATCTAATCTAACAAAATTTATCGTTTGACAAAAAAAAAAAATAAAAAATCTTTCGTGTTGAAAATTGCATCAGAAATAATAAAAAATTCAACTTCACCCTTGTCGTATTTACCGACCGTTCTTGTTAAAAATGTACCGAGAATGAACAAACGGAATTGGAGAAAGAAAAAGAAAAACTTTGACAAATTTACCGCCACTCGTCGACAGTAATGACCAGAACAAAGGGTGCATTTTCTTTTTTACATACAAAACCTCATGCACATTACAACTAAGTACACCCTTCCTCACAAAAATTAAAACTAGAGGGCAACGAGAAAAAGAATAATCAAATTAAGCTCCTACTTCCGGAGTTCCTAATCCGTAAAAATCAAATTCGACCATTAAATCCTCGTAACAATTGTTATGTTCGTACCATCTGTGGCTTCTGGTGGGGGCTTTACATACTTCCCGATTGCTTTTTGATGCGTTCGCCTCCTTATTCTGTTTATTTTTTCCTTACTTTTCTTCCTCCTATTCTCTTTCTCCTTATGCCGTAAATGTCTCTCTTTTTCATAGATACCTTGCCAGAAGACCTCGCCTGTTGATGGCCACAACCACCGCCTTGTGGGGTGCTCAAGATCTGATTCCTCCGCCAAGTCCTCGTCCATGCTCTTTAGGGTGGAGTATGAGAACCATTTGATCCACATATGACCTTTCCTGCTCTTGAACCTATGTTGCTCCTGCATCACACCAGTCTCAGGGTGCACATATACCATCCGCCTCGCACTGTGGTACGCCCAAACATTTATGAGTAACTCAAGAAGCCGTGAATAGCAATGTTTGTCCTACAATTTGCAGATGCACACATAAGTACAATACAGCAAAACAAAATCAAAATTTTATCAGTAGAAGAATATTATTCAAGTACAAGCAAATTACTTTTGACAAACTCAAATAACAGCGGCCACTTGAATGGTGTTCATCATACATTTGTGCATCCATTGCATCTCCAAACATTCTGCACACCCACAAGTTCATGTTAACATTTAAAGAATAGCTTTCACAGTAGATTGTATGGTACATCATTTCTGAATAGACGCCAACAAGTGCAATATTTCTTACCTAGAAAACATTACAAACTCTAGGAAGGACTTCGTTGGCAAAGCCCAGCTATGCATGACAGACCACGTGTCCCCATCCACAGGCATGGGCGGTATAAATTCCAAATTGTAGTTTACGCCATACATCCTTTTAAGAGCCTCCGAAAAAGCAAACCTTCAATTTACCATGTGGAAAAATTAAGTCAAAATCTAACTCACATTTGAGAGAGAAAGGGAAGGTTCCGCGAAAGTATTAATGACAAGAATCAAATAAAGGATCACCAATCTTACTTGCAATTTCCAGCATTTATACCATCACAGAATGACCAAAAATCTTGTTTCAGAGGATTTCGTGGATCATCATCCATGCGTGCCCAAAAGTAGAGTGTGTCTCCATGCCTTCGTGTTTGAATAGCTTCTAACAATTCATTTTCAGCTATTCCAGATAACGAAGCCTGTTCCAGTCCCCATTCCCCATGTTAGATATAAAGGATCATATATAAAAGAATGGGCAGAAAGATGAAAAGAATTCATTTTTTTGTTTAGTCGCTTTCCATTCTCCTTTTCATTTGGAGACTGAGATCCAAGAATACCCCAAAAGTGGTTATACTAGCCACAACTATTCAGTGCACATGCTGCTTAATTTATTTATCAGAAGAGAACGTTATCATACAATTCATTTGTTGTTACTTTTCTTCTATGTGGATTTTATTTTAAAGCGACGTGACTTGTATAACATTTGTAAGTGCAAGTAACAACATTAGTCATTGACATGACGAGATGAAATACCCTAGGCTTCCTAGCCCATCATACATACGCAACTGGTTTGCACACACATGATGCCTATTGTTAATAACGGTGTACATATGCAATCATCTTTTAAGGCCCCAGCTAGACAGTTCATTCAATTAACTCAATGCGTGTACTCAATAATGTTGCAACACTTTTATTGCTTAAACACAGAATTTAGAAAACATATTTTGAAACTTGCTAGATGGCTAAGATACTGTTATCATATGATACCTCTTCTGCTCAGAAAAAGCAAAACTAAAATGGAATACGAAACCTAGATCTTTTACTGGTTCCAAGGCCTTTTGACAAAGCAAATACGGCCTTCCAACATGCCACGAGTATAAACTGCTATGGTTCACTATGAAACTTCCAACAAGATCAAGAGGACTAGATAAAGATATAGATATGGGTATTTCCAGATGCTAGGAAGCTTGCTGAAATCATGTGTACAAACTACAAATGTAAGGCAATCAATACATAAACATCAGGAAGATCGGTACAGAGAGACAGAGAGAGAGAGACAGAGAGAGAGAGATCCAATACCTTCCTCGCTGTTATTCTCCAAGACTGAAACCCTATCCATGCGTTCTTATGTATACGGTCAATTCGGTTTGCAATGGCAAAGAATGCTCCATGTTCACCAAGTACATCTCGATAATAAGGTTTGTTAAGAAGTGGAAGACGAGAAGGTGCTTCAACATCATCAGCCCTAGGTCTTCGACCTTTGGTGGACTACAAGAATTTAGTTTATGCAACAGTCAGAGGAAAATCTAAAACAAACAATCCCTACTAAATTGACAGCAAGGGATCTGACAACAAAGTGGCAACACAGGTTGTGTAGCATGCACCTTTAAAATCAATTTGTTTTGGACAGAACAATCACAATGGACATACGCATCCAAATAATGTTCAACTAAGCCTCTAAAAATGAATACAAGAAATGACAAATTGGAGAGCTTACCAGTCCGATTCCGCGATAAAGAGATTTTAGGTGTAAGAAAGGCCAGGTTCCCTCACCAATGTAAGGTTCATATATACACAATGGTTGGCCTGTCCTTTCAAGCTCCCCTTCATCCCTTTCATGCAAATCATTCTTGGAGCGATCAATTCTTTTGGCATTTCGATACACTTCCTCCCATGTTCCATGCGATTGAACACTTCTATCCTTTAACTGCACAAAATTTCAAACTGTGGGTACTATATATAAATGGGCAAAGCTCCAAAAGCAAATAAAGGAGGCCCATGAATCGGTTCAATACAATACAACAACAACAACAACAACAACAAAGCCTTTTCCCACTAAGTGGGGTCGGCTATATGAATCCTAGAACGCCATTGCGCAGCCCTTACCATTTCTTCCTCTCTTCTTCTCTTGGTACTAACCATCTGAATGTATTTTTCTTCCTCCCATATACTATATATAAATGAATAATTGGTTGCAGAGGTGGCATTCAACCTCTCTTCTTGAGTACGATTGTACTGCTCCTCGAAATCATCCAAAAATGCATTACTTCTCAAATTTCTATCTAAGTATGTTGAATTTGATACTGCTTCAAATAAGTGCCATTGCCATCTTTCTTTCAATTTGGGAGGGATTTTTACAACATCCCTGGGCAGTGCAACTTCTGACGGAAGCATGAGAACATTTTCGAGAAGTGAAGCATATCCTTCGACAGTTTCAGACACCATTAGGCTTTTTGCAGTACCTCTCCCTATCGAGGCAATACTGTGAGCTAGAGGTGATAACTTTCCTTTTGAAATAACTTGCAGAAGGATTTGCGAAAGAGCCCCAATATTTTCCTTCGGAAAAAGGTAGCCATTCACTCTATTATCAACCTGATTGTTAATGCCATTACAATTAGTAGTCCTCTTTGGAAACAAAATTATGCAACAATTTAACAATCCAAAATTCAACAAAAAGGAATCATTATGTAGGTTCACATCATGGTGCTTGAGATGCATTGTAAGCAATCATCATTACATGGCATCACATTTTATGCCCCACATTTCAGCAAATCCCTGCCAATAGATTCTACCTGGCCAAATTCTACAGTTTCCAGATAAGCTTAGCCACTTAACATTATTATAAGTGACAGTGGATTTTGTATGCCGATCATGGTGTTTGAGTTTGCCCCTTTTTAATTTTGTATGCCAGGTAGGGGACAAATTTCTGAGACTTTAAAACCAGCATGTCGAATTAAGGGACAATGTGCCCAGATAAAAGAAAAATGAAGAGGATGTTGACCTAATTGAGTGGAAAAAAGATAAATACAGAGTAATGCATGACGAGCATAGAAAGATTAACAGTGAAAAGGATCTGTATTGAACACCATCCCAAGCACTTGTTCCTGATTTAGTTTCAGTTCAATTTAGAACTCATGGTTATGAATGCTTAATTATAAATTTTTCATTAAGATATAATGTTTGATCATTTCAAGACATACGAGTTTGTAAGGTCAAGAAAAAAGTACTAAGAAACATACATGTTTCCTGATCATGGAGAGATCTGGGGCAACAATTGGTTTCTCAAGGCACATCGCTTTGACTAAAATGTCTGGAAATGATTGCTCTTCAAGGAAGGATCCATATATCACAACATCAGACATACTGAGAACATTGTCTGCATCCATATCAACAGCTACATGCTTCACAATGCCACTTGGGTACTTCAAACTGTGAGCAATGGCCTAAGACCAGATCAACCAAAAAGAAGCATAAATAACATATCCTCAAGCTTCCTATAGAAAAATATCTATCTCCAAACAGTTTGAAGCAGAGTTCAGTTACACACCTCAACGACCAAACTGTAGTTACTTGCTGAGTCTCCATTCAAAACAATGATTTTGAGATGAGAATAAGAATTGTTAACCAATGAGGAATCCTCCAAAAGCGGTAGTACAGCCCGTAGAACAATGGAATGTTCCAGCCACAAGCCCCTATACAAAAATTGGCTTCCCACAATTGTAATTACAACGTCTTCAGACTCAAAACCCATCCTGGCACGCAGATTATTTTTGTCTGAATCCATTAGAGAATCTGCCTTGCAAGCTTCGGCAGGAGAACCCGGAATAACAAAAAAGTTTCCAGCATCAAATACCGAGTAAATCATCTGTGAAAGTAAAGAAACCAATCAAACTTCTAGAAATTTGGACAATCCAAAACTAATGATGGCATGGGTAATAAGTCAGATGAGAGACCTTATTAAGTATTGCAAAAGAAAGGGCCCGCTGATAGAGCTGGGCAGGGAAGCGTCATAATTGTCTAACACTATCACATCTACAATTTTTAAATGATTGGTTCATTGGATGATGGTTACCACTCAACAATAAGTGCTTGTTTATTTGTACTGCATTCCCTAACTGATAAGACATCTGACCTCGACACTGAGAATGTAATATGGTGTGTAACTTCATTTATTTTAGTAAATTGTTCACTCCCTTGAGGTTAAGCCAAATGACAAGACGTATATGAAGTCTAGGAGGAATTTTTTTTTGAGAAGAAACAATTTTATTAAAGAATAGTGAAAAACATAGAAGTGGATAAGAAGTCCACCAACAAATTAGAAAGGAAAATCCCAATAGGATTTGGCTACAGTAGCCAATTCTAGACCTAGCTCACTTAACTGCTGCTAACAAATCCCACAGTATTTGAGATAGAGAACAATTATTAAACTCTTTAGTAACCGAAGCCCAAAAAGATGCCCAATATTTTACTCTCCCCCAAAGTACTTTTGCCCCCACTCCAGTATAGTCTTCAAAAATCCTTCTGTTGCGTTCCAGCCATATATTCCAAAAAATTGCCAATACCAGGCAACCCCACAAAGCTTTGGATTTTTTCCCCTTTCCAAGTGCCTTAAAATTGGTGCTTAGTAGCTCAAAACACCCTTTAGGAATGACCCAACTTACTTTAACCTCCTGAAACAGTTTCCACCATAGTTGGATCGAGTAGGAGCAATGAAGAAAGATGTGATTTACACTCTCCTCCTTAGCTTTACATAAACTACACCAATGTGGGGATAAACACATCAGAGGGTTTCTCCTTTGAATTTTGTCGCAAGTGTTGAGACTCCCAGTGGCCACAAGCCATACAAGTATTTTAACCTTCGGAGGAGCTTTTGATTTCCAAATCTGAGAGTAGGGTGGATAATAGTGCACAATCCCATTGTTGCTCAGTAATGAACGATAGGATTTGCATGTGAACAAACCTGAAGCTTCTAGGTTCCACCTTCTGTTATCCATTTTTGATGGAGACAAGCGAACCACTTCCACTTTCTGTAATAAGCTGGCCGCCTCTTCTATCTCCATCTCATTCAGATTTCTCCTAAAATCAAAGTTCCAACTCAAGGAACTTGACGAAGCTTCCACAAAGCTAGAGATGTTATGATTATGCTTCCTCAATAATAAGAATAATCTGGGGAATTGCTCCTTCAGCGGTCCCTCTGCTAACCATCCATCCTCCCAAAACCTCACCCTCTCTCCATTGCCCACCTCAAACTTGCAACATCTAAGAAACTGATGAGCACCACTCGAAATGTCTTTCCATGGGCTACGACTTGAAACCCTACTTGGAGGAAGTGCATTCCATCCATTAACTTGTAGCCCATACTTGCTTCTTATCACCTTGTGCCATAGGGAATGAGACTCCCTTGGGAATCTCCACAACCACTTAGCCAATAGTTCTTCGTTCTGATTCCTCAAATTCCCCACCCCTAGACCTCCTTCCTCCTTGTTTTTAGTAACTAACTTTTTACTACACGTATGTTAACAGCAGTCTTCTATAGATGTTGACCCAAAAAAGTCTTCTATAGATGTTGACCCAAAAAAGTCTTCTATAGATGTTAACCTTGGGGGTTGGGAATGTGATTTACTCCTTTTCCTTCTCCCCTAAAACAAACAGATGGACCATGAAGCAGACCAAATGGACACAGTAAATCACGATTCACGCGTATGATAACGTGATAGAATGAGATGTAAGAAGTTAACAGGTGCTATAAAGTTAAACACTTGTTTGCTAAATTATGGCCTATGGGGTTGAGCCCACAAAATGGCAATATAAAGGCAAGTAATGACCACTCAGGTGTCCCAGAAGAACCATGGAGGGGTATAGACACAACCTCTTCATGTGTATGATCTGGTGATATAATGATAATCAACAATTTAACGAGTGCTATAAAATCACACTTGTCAAATAAATCTTACCGGCAGAAAATGATTTGGGAAGACAACAACAGCAGATCGGCTGAAGAGTCTTTTCCAATCATTTAAAAGTTCAATCTGCATATTTGAAGAGTACTTTCTTGATCGAGCAGCAAGTGCCTGTTCATGGATAGTCCATATTATAGGTAAAGACTTGAAAGGCTCCTGCAGAAAACTGCGACAAATAAAATCATTCATGTTGTTTGATAGAGAAGTTTCTGATGGGAAGAACACCAAAGCATCAACTATATTAAGAAATACACACTAAAGCAAATGGCAGTTTCAATGGAAAAATACATGTTCAAATGATGTTAATAATTAGGAAGATCATGAAATTTATTGCAACTGAATTACATATCTTACCAAGAAAAGATGCCCTTTGCTTCAAGAGAGTTCACAAGTATGCCGTTATAACTGCAAGACACACGTTTTGATCAGATTCAACCGTCAATAGATCTAATTAACTGAACCATGCTCATTTACATTGACTTATTAAACAATGTCAACAAAATCAACCAAAACGGATGTAACATCCAGTCACAAGTCACATAAATTTCCAGGAAATCAAGGTGATGTTACATATCCTAACAACGATTCAAATATTTGCGGGAATTTGGTAATTCATTCAAACAAAGAGGAATCGTGGTGTGAGCATGGGATATGGTCCCAATGCAGCATATAAATACTCTCCAAAAGTAAATAGGATTAAGGATGTTGCATACAAACTATAAAAAAGATGAGTATTATAAGAACATGAAAGGCCTTATGTAAAGAAATGACGTGCATATTAATTTCAATAATGCTTCAAATGGTGTCAATCAAACACAACATATGTGCTAGTTGAAGTGAGAAGATATTCTACAATGTTGCATTGAAACGAAATTGTAAAAAGTCCACGATGCGTTAGACAATTAGCCTGAAGACATACTTTAGCCAGTCTACATTAAGCTCTGGCTGATCAGTGTTTTGGATCATGCTGACCGGAACTCCTAAACCTCTCCAAATGTCATGCACAGGACCATCTTCAAGTGAATAAACCTGCAGCAGTATAAACAACATGACACAAAACACCATCACATATAACTCCACAATGATACAAAACATTATACTCCTCAGAAAATCTGTATTAAACACAGAATTAGTGTAGATACTTATAGCGCAAAGACTAATCCATGAGACATGCATGTCCCTGGTGACAAACTAACAACCAAAGGAATAATAGTAAAACTGGACCACCCATAGAACAGCATATAATCTACGTATTCTACAATGTTATTGCTAAATTCGAAGTCAAATTACCGAAAGCGTGTATCCAATCTCCTGCAATGCAGCTGCAACAGTCACCATCAGTAACTGTTGTGAATCGACCGACAGATCTGCAAAAACCTTCAAGTAAAAGAACGAAAGCAGAAGGCCCAACAAACGAAAATAATCAGTAAAGAAACAGAGTAAGCAAGCACTAAGTCATACAAAACCCAATGAGTCAACAGATCCCAGCATGCAATACATTACAAGTACAAGAAGCCAAACCCAAAATACTAATCCAAAACAAAACACAATATCTGGAAATCAACGAAAAGTTGTCAGAAAAAATCGAATACTTACGATTGCAAGCTGAGGTTTTCTGTACCCAAAACGTTGCTGTCGCGTCCTGTTGAAAGCAGGAGAGAGACTAGCCTCTCTAGCTTCCTTCTGGAATTTCTCCAAAAGCTTTGAAGGCTCAAATCTAATGTCTTCCCCAAAATCCAACAATCCCAAGTCCTTCAAAAACCTCAAATCCTCCGAACTCCATCCCACATTCTTCATCAAATCCTCTGACTTTTCGTTTTCAATCACCGAACCAGGCAAGTACATTTGGAACAGCACCACAAAGAACAGAAACACAGCCACAGTGCAAATCCACTGGAGGTAATCCAGCCTCTTCAGGAGCAGAAACCTTGAAAACTTCGATCTGGGTCTCTGCAAAAAAGGGCTTCTGCCGTTCGATGAAGACCGCCCAAGTGGGTCCCTCTTCGACGGGACCCCACTTTCCAACGAACCCATTTCAGCTAGCTTCTCCTTCCCATCGATTCACACTGAAAAGCTTCAACCTTTACACGATTTTCCTTCAAAACCAGATCAAAAATCGAAAACCCACATAGCTTTTTATGCAAATTGAAGAACCCACAAAGCTTTTTCTGGAAATCGAAAAACCCAGAAAGTTTTCACGGTCGTTCACCGACACAGATATCAATGGCTTGTGCGTGCGTGTTTTCAGATAAGCGTTTTGATTTATCAAAGGAAGCTTGTGAAGTGAGTCAAAGAAAAGTCAGAGATTTTTGCATATAGGCTGAAGAAGCGGTGAAGGCAATTGGTGTTCGATATTGACGTGGACTATGAAAAGTTAATTTTTTCCAGATTTATTTACGAAATATTTGGGGAGAAAAATAAGGGTTTCTTTTGTGATCTAAGAAAGGAATTAGTACACGACATGATGTGTCCTAAGAATTTTATTTCTTTGTTCTTTCATAAATAGTTTCCCAAATTGATTTAAAATATTCCAACTAATGTAAAGATAGCATCTTTGCACCAAGGTTATATAGAATTTTGGGACAAGGAATCTCTTTGGATTTTCTATGTTAGGATCCTTTCATCATACGTCGAGCTGCAAGTTTTCGTTAAGTACTATTTGTGTTTAATTTTAAATAAAATATTTATAATAATTTCTGTCTGCACAATGTACAATAAATGGATAAAAAAATATCCGGATGAGATCCAAACCCAGAATTTTAAGTAATTTTTTTTGTTGGAGAGAAGAACTTCACATTGATCAAAAGGTTTTTAATTTGTCAGCATTTGATATTATAATCTGCTTGATAATTTGTGTATACATCAAGTTAATAATTAAGAAATCTTTTGTGTCAAGCTTATTTTGATTTTATCATTATTTTTGTCGTAGTGAAAAGTTTTACATATTTATGTAATTATAAAATCCTTCCGTATTGTGACAACCTGTCCCTAGTTCTACGATTTTATAAATTTTAAAAGAATGAATTTACGAAAATGCCCTAGAGGTGAAGGTTTTGACTTTCATAGGCCAACGTGGAGAGAAACGTATGACTTATTCACTTAGTGCATTTGTGTAGTACTCGTTGGTATGAACGCAAAGGCGAAAGCCATTTGCGAATTCAGATTATATCGATATAGTTATTGACATTTGAAATTGGTTATTTAAAGTTTAGTTATAAATTAATTCAAACTCCCACCATGTGGGAGTGGTAACCAATCAATTTTAAGAGAGGAAAATGAGAACCAATCAGGCAGGGAGAAGGAAAGAAAAAAAAAGAAAAAAAAAAAAAGAAACCTTCCCGTCGGGCAGTGCACCCGTACACCCAAACTGGCCAAAATTAGGCCAATTCTGCCATTTTGTTTCATGGAACACTATATCCACCACCTGTAACATCTTCCCCAATCTTTCTTCTTTCATCTTCGCTCAAGATTGAAGAGTTTTAGGCCCAAAAACGCGAAGAACATCATCGAAGCACTGGAGGTGTTCGACGGTGATTCCTTCGATCCGGCGAGTTTCACCACCCACCACCACCCTTAATCAACTCCTCTTGGACCCAGGAACAAGACCCAAGCAGTTGTAGAGGTGTTGGAACATCAAGTAAGTTGAAATGAAGAACACCCATCTTAGGGTTTCCGGCGGGTTTGAGTAAAATTGGAGTCTTTCCCGGCTAAATTGGACTTGACCACATATATAAAACTTGTTCTACTCATTAAGATCTTCATTTCTGTAAAATTTGGTAATTTTTAGAAATAATTGGATTTTCCGGCGAATCGGGGTTGCCGACCGCCACCTGCGGCGGCGCGTGGCCAGCGGATTAAAGATGTCGTTCTAAGTCATTTTAAGTGCCTGAGTTCATAGTTGATATCCATATGATGTGAATGGATTATTCTAAACCTAGGTTGATTAAGGTATATCACTTGATTATTATATGAATCGATGATTCGACCGTTGGATCGTTACTAAACTTTAAAATGTAATAACACATAATATTTGAAGATTATAGGAATTGACGGATCGGGAATCCAACTTGCGGATCTTTCCAAATTGGATTTGCAAGTTCATAAAATAAACGTTAACCTCCACCTTGTTTTGGCAATTGACGGAGATCCAACCGTTGGATCATAGTGAAATTTTAGGATAATATTTTAGAAGCATAATGTGCATCTTTGGAAGTTTCTGATCCAAAATCTGAAGAGCGAGTCTTCCGGATCGAGTTACATAAAGTTATGGACCCTACCGTCGATCCTTGATCGACGATTGACTTTTGATCAATTGTTATCAAATCATTCTAAAACGTCTTTAGGAATGTGTTTTACGTAAGTTACATGATCTATTGATAAAGATTCTGAGATGTGATTTGAAAATTGTCCTAGGCGCCGTTCGTCAGGGATGCCTCGATGTACATGCTAGGAAAATGGTAGGGCAGACTCCAGGTGAGTGGATCTTTTCCTTTTTATCGTATATATATATATATATATATATATATATATATATATATATATATATATATATATATATATATATATATACACACATGATTGATAATTTCAAAAATACTCTTAAATTGAATTAAGCAATTTGTGCCATGTTATATATATTTATATGTTCTAAAGTATTATGAGATGGTTGAGTTTAGATTATGTCATGGTATATCCATATGCATGTTACGTACAAATAATTGATGTGAACTACGATTTGCTTGATCCATATTTAGGGTACGTAGACAGTCTATCGAGACATTAGATGCATCCATACAATAAATGAGATTAAATAATCGAGACAAAAGCCTTGTTTGGGGAATTGAGCAATGTGAAGGAATTTGGTGAAAGGGTGAGATTTAACCTTATGATTTTGGTGGTTAAATGTTGGTCATAAATCAATGTGTGAGAAATTGAGAGATTGAAGTAAACAATCGTAAGCAATGATAGTTAATTAAACTAATATTTAGTTAGACTTGTTCCTGATAATTATTCCCAAAATAAATAGTTCAGGAGTGGGGCGTTGCAGATTATGCATATTTCACCATGTTATATATTGATGCATAAAATCAGTGAAGACTTTGGTACAACATAAAGTGTTAAGTTTGTGACCTTCGCTAGATTGCTCCGGTCACTAGTGTGGATAAGTATGTAAATGGATAGGGACAGGGAAGCAAACACAAGATGTACGTGGTTCACCCAGATTGGCTACGTCCACGGAGTAGAGGAGTTCTCATTAATTGTGAAGTGTTTACATAAGTACATAGGTTCAAGCTCTCCTTTAGTGAGTACTAGTGAATGATTTAGTACAAATGACATTAGGAAATATTGTGAGAGAATGATCTCTATTTATAGAAGAGAGTTTCTAGTTTCATTCTGACATTTACACGGGTCGTGTTGTAATTGGCTTCTGATGTTGACACGTGTCGCGCTATGATTGGCTTCTGATGTTGACATGTGTCACGTTATGATTGGCCTCCTGGTTGTAGGAAAACTCTTATAGGTTCTTGACGGTATAACGTTGACCGGTGCTCAGTAGTTTCGGGATTGGTCAAGTATGGTACAAACAGTGCTCCCCTAAGTTCCCGAGTGAGGGAAGCTCCTCGGTTGGGGACTTGCAAGATCCAAGCCACTGAGTAATCACGAAACTTCTAAGTACCGAAGTGTGGTATCATTTTCACTTGCCTTATCTGTCTCATATGTAGATGTGGCATTTTCTCTAGAAGTACTTTTCCTCCATCCAGGGGTGGTATCTTTAACCGATGAAGATGCACAAGATAATGTATCAATTTCACTTGAAGCTTACTTGTAGTTTCGGGCTTGGTTAAGTGCGATACAAACCCTATAGTAGGAGTCCCCCAAGTCGTTGAGCTAGGAGATTTGCCGAATGAGGTAACATACAAGGTAAGAAATCAGACTTCCAAGTAAGCAACCTGGATCGGAGGTTCGACTTCGGCTTCCGGTTGATTATTCTTCTTCTCATTGTGTCTAAATAGCACCAATGATAAGGAGAAGTAAATGGAGAAAAGATGATATGAGATACTTTTGCTTTTGAAGAAGTAACTTTCCACAGGCTTATTCTTGAACTGGGCTGGAGGGTTTTCTGGTTCCCTTCAGAGTATAAGGCCGACTCAAGAATTTGAGGGTCAAAACAAGTCCATCAAATTTAGAGTACATTCGACCTTAATGATATGGGATACTTTTGCTGTTGACAAAGTAGTGGATGTATCGGCACGTGTTCTGTTACGCTTGTCTCCACATGCTTCCTTGTATCATTCTCACTTGCCCTATCTGTTCCTCAGGCAGATGTGGTATCTTCTCTAGAAGCATAAGATGTTGAAGATGAGTACTCGAGAGCAATGCCATGTAAGTAATCAGACAAGGGGTTCCAGGCAGTCAGTTCCTGACTAGAAGCTTGATTCCAAGTGCTGACTGATTGCTCTCTTTCTCCTTGTCTTGCAGGTAAGAACAAGGCCAAAGGAAAAGACAGGGGAAAAGCATGATATGGGATACTCTTGCTTTTAACCCTGATGATATGAGATACTCTTGCTATGGTGTGGCTTGTTTGCAGAGGTATTATCGGGAGGAAAAGAAGCTGAGTATTTTGAGAGACTCTGCTGAGAGTGCCCTCTCGGATGTGAAGAAAAGTTGAGCATTTTTTTTTATTTGTAGGTTTTGCCTAGCTATGAAGGATGGAGGTTGACATATATAGGAGTCTCCCTAACAACAAGTAGTAGTGCTATTCCTTTACCTTTCTTGGTCGTAGCAATGTAGTGGGAGCTGCAAGCTTCACGTGTTTTAACTTTGTCATAGCATTTTGAAAAAGTGGTATGTGGTATATGGAAAGCTGATGTTGCGTGTGAATATTGCAGACAAGCTTTATCCAAGGAAATCTGGCTCTCAAAGTTCAGAGAGCGATGCCTCTTCGGTTTTCGAACAAGCAATCATGTCGGGAATCTGGCTTTCGAGATTCGGAGAGCGGTGCCTCTTCGATTTTTGAGAAAGCAATCATGTTGGGAGTTTGGCTCTTGAGATTCGAAAAGCGGTGCCTCTTCGACTTTTGAGAAAGTAATAATGCTGTTGGGAGTCTGGCTCTCGAGATTCAGAGGGCGGTGCCTCTTCAATTTTTGAGCAAGTAATAATGTTATTCCTTTACCCTTCTTGGTCATAGCAATGTAATGGGAGCTGCAAGCTTCACATGTTTTAACTTTGTCAGAGCGTTTGAAAAAGTGGTATGTGGTATCTGGAAAGATGATGTTGCGTGTGAAGATTGCAGACAAGCTTTATCCAAGGA